GGCTACACCTTTGCATTTGAACCTATGAATGTGTCTACCTAATCATGTATATTTTCCTGGTTATCCGGTGTTCATATGTGGGTTGGACCCCCAAAAAAATATTCACTTACCCTTCCCAGCCACCATCCCAAAATGTTGGGGCCATGCAACACCAGATTTCAACCTGAACTGCTTCTTAAACTCATTAATAGCAGAAGCAGATGGTCATGGTCCCTGATATAATCAGTTTCTAGTGCAAAATTCAAACACTGGGACCAACCTTGATTTGGCTTGCACCATTCTCACCAACACAACCCCAACACATGTAAAGGGAGGATTGTGTGTCATTGCCAATAGGATGCAGAAGCTGTATTACATAGAATCTATGTACTTGGATAAGAATGTATAAAAATCTTCATGCACATGTGTACTCACTTATTCTTATTAGAGCCAACCTCAGTTTGGTTGAGCATTGCATCCCAAACACTTTCAGCACTTGAGTAAACTTGATGTGTATCTAGACATTCCAGTCATTTCCATGGTCTCAATGCATGCCTATAGGACTTACTAATGGGGCCAGACATTGGGTCTACTGGAGCAGCACCTTGTTTCACAACAGTGACCTGGAAATTGAGAAATGAGCATCTGGGTATAAATCACAGGGTATCCAATACTTGCGATCTTCTTCACTTCATTGTCCACCTTATTGTCACTAGTGTCATAGTTTTGCCTAATATGGTATGTTTAAGACTTTCATAGTAAGTATTGATGAGCTGCTCATTATTGGAAGGAGTGAGGTAATGTTAGGATGATACTATTTCATTGTTACACATGCATGTACATTAAAAAATCAAGTGTGTCGAAATTGTACTCACTGTCACATGTCACGTGCTCCTGTGTCGGCGTGTCGAAATGGGTTTTGATGTCACGGTCACAAGAGGCTGTCGAATTGAATGAAATGGTACAGTAGCCATTGAAACAAATCACAAAAGTCCCTGGGCTCACGAAACGGCATTCACCGGACCACACGGTGAAAACGTGCTACAATGGCTTGCTAGAGAGTAAAGAGATCTGATCAAGTTAACCGGCCCCATTCCCGGACTTCTTCAATGTGGAGCAGAAATTCTCATCGGCCCTTGCCAAATGCATGATGACCCTTATACTCGATGTGCAACGTGCCCCCGGCACTCAGCGAACACTGCCTTTACTAGATATCACACACTCTATAAGCGGACACTAATTGTGATCACAACGAGGGATGACGGTTCAAATGGAGACTCGGATATCACGATGTGACATTGTGAAAGTGTAAGCATTAATTTCACCTCCAAGTTCCGCCACCTTCAATATTACAGTCCTGATTATAAAGGGCAGATTTCGATAGTATGGTTTCCAAACGTTTTAACACCCTACTCGGATCCCACCATCTGAGATGGCAGTTCCTGATGCACACATTGTTCAGTTCGATTTGAACTCCATCTCATCTTACGGTGCGTACAATAAACCCTGTGGTGGTTTTTGCTCTCTTGAACTAACAGTTTAACATATATACCAGATCTCCTGGATCATAACGGTGATCCAGCATATAATTTCTTATCACCTCCCCAATTTGAGAGTCCTCTAGTCCCCCCTGGTTTTAAATGGCGCCGAGTTGAGTCGGTATCGACGCGCATACCTTCGCCAGAATCGGTATCCTCCTCACATGCTTCCACTTCCTCAGCATCAGATATAAATTCCGTAAAGCTGGGTTCCGCACTTCCCTTCCCATCGTCCTTTCCTTCCTCCGCCGCTCTTGCGAGTATGCCCATACCATGTTCTCGTGGATACTCGCGTAGCAAAGACCCAGATCACGTACCACGTCCGCGGAATGCTTTCATGCTCTTCCGCTCTGCTTTTGCTGCCGCACAGAAAATCGGAACGAATATTGAGCGTGACAATCGACACATCACGCGCATAATCGCGCACTGTTGGAATCGCCTGTCCGAATCAGAGAAACAGGTTTGGCGTAATAAGGCTGCAACGGAGAAGGCCGTCCATGCGATAAAGTACCCAAATTACAGGTTTCATCCTGTCCTACGCGCCAAAAAGCCTACCAAACGAAGAGTTCAGAGGAACGGCACGGAAGATAAGAGACGCTGCGAGCAAGTCGCTGAACTCCTTCTTGCAGGCAAGCATGGCGAAGAACTCGAGGTCGCAGTCAAGGAAATCGACGACACTATGAAAGCCACAACTTCTACGTCATCCCCTGATTCAAGGAGTGGGTCATCATCCAAGGGCATACAGCCTCCTTGTGAAGGCGACTTTGACGGACGCGAGATACAACCATTCCGCAGCCCTCTTTTGCCACCTACTACCAAGTCAACCAGTCCTTCAATCTGCGACTTTACAGGTGCCACTCAGTTTTCTCCACCGGTGCGCATATTTTCTCGGCATTTGACATCCTCTCATCGTTTCCATGCAGCTCACTATGGCCAAGACCATTACAAAATCCTACGAATGTAGCGAGCAGCCTCACCAAGCACCGTATGACACCGATCAACCAATATCGAGTACTTCTCCGACACACCCACTGCTCCTCACCCAGCCTGACTTTTATCCTCTGTACCAAAGTGCCAGGCTCTCACCACTGCCTGTGGCACTTTATAGCGAATCTTCAGCCTTGTTCATAGACTACACAGATAAGAACGACGGCGGCGGTAATATCTCCGCATTGACTCCCTCCCCTCCAGACTTTTCTGCCTTCTCATGGGACACATTTTCAACGCTGTGCTATAGTACCAATTCGTCTCACTCGTACACAACTTTTCCATCCTACTGAACGTTTTTTGTGATACAATATTATTACCCCAACAAACGCCTTAGACCCATCCTAATCACGCTCGCATTCATCTGTAGCCTTTTAGCTTTACCCTTATACATATCGAACCATCGTGGATAGACATACATATGTCGGAATGTAACCTTTACCAACAACAAACTTATTCACGAGTTTCTAGACAAGATCTTAAAGGCTTTGACGCCCTCTTTGCCCAACAACGTTGCACAACCTACGATCTTGGCACCGGCACGATTCATCCGCCGAACAGCTTCTGGGGATGTCACGCCCCCAGCGCCAATGATGACAATTTCCCGCATCGCCGGGTCATCTGACTCCGCAAGAAGTCGTGAAAAGGTGTACACATTCCCTAGGGAGATGGAATGAATAGCCTCGCCTGCGAGGCCACCCAAACCTGGAGGCACGGCAAACCGGGACATGTCCATCTTTGCATCTGGGGTGGGGGTCTGATCAGCAAAGACAAGGCTGTTTCCGAGAGTGTTTGTGCACGTGAAGTAAGCGATTGGATTTGTGGGGTTACCAGAATCGGTACGGGTGTAAGACGAAATGCATTCGATGACATCACGAAATTGGGTTGCTATGATGTACGGCGGGAGCTTGAGCCCGATTGTAAGCGTCGAGTCATCCTGGAAAGCCTTTGCGAAGACGTCAAGATATGGCTTGAGAGAAGGAAGGTGGTACGAGGGCGGAGGATGGCCTTTGATATTTGGGCAGCTGGAGTTAAACTCGACAGCGATACGAGAGTGCCATGTAGAATTTGACGCGCGGAACTGTTGGATCGCGACTAACATTTCAGAAAGCCTCTCGGCGCTAGACTCCGTGATGCTGATTATGAACGGTTTGGGAGATGGTCCTTCTCCTAAGACCTCTCGAATCCATGCGAGATATTCATGCAATGGATGGGGTGAATATCCGTACGAATTAAGGGACGAAAGGGAATCCTTCATGAACGCTACCTGAGCAATCAACCTCGTTAGACGTATGAAAGATTGTCGGAGCAGTACGTACAGTATGACTTTCATCTTCTTCAAAACCGTCCAAAGTAGCTGTTCTCGTGATCACAGCGCCTGTATAAGAGCAGTGGTACAGTTCACTGAGCTGTTGATAGTCTGATGCCCATGCACATGAGCAGTTCACCATGGGAGGTGACACATCAATGCTGCGAATCAAAACCATCGAGGATCTTATCAGGATCAGTAATAGATGTCTTGTGGATCAAATAGAATGAGCCGCTAAGCGTATTGACACTTTCTTCGGTGTTAGTATCAGTTGAGAAGACCATGATAGTGCCTATTATTACGGACGTCGTGCCTAAAGCGGTCAACTTGGCTTGAGGTAAGCTTGATAAGACTTTACCAATTAAACAGAAATATACCGCATGCATGCCAGTACATAGCTATGAAAAGAGCCCATCATCAAGGAGATGATCAGTCAAGAACAGAGTCCATTTGGCTCCCCGACAACGCTGGTAGCCTCTTCTCCTTCAGCAATGGCATTTTCGGTGTGCCCATTCGCAATTGTCCCTCGCCAAGCTATCTCTCGAGCATCTTCTTTGATTATCTCTCTCACCTTCTCTCACAACGGCTCGACATAGTACCAAGAGAGGGCATACCATCCCAAGGCATCATAGGGAGCCGCCAGCCAACGATGGGTCTTGCTCCATTGTCTCCTTTCGTCTATGTATTTTAGGAGCCAATTTCGAGGATACAAGACTATGATTGGGTCCAAGAACACCCCGAGCCAAGTCAGAAACGAGAAAATGCAACGGTCAAGCTGTCTACACCTGCACCTGACGCTCTACCTGTAATCAAACTTGACATGGAACCATCGGAGCGATGTTGGAATGATAATTCTGTGGATGATATGGTTTTTATTGCCCCAAATAGACATGAACAAGGTGCTGAATGAAAGGGAAATAAAGTGCAGCCTCGAGACCATCTCTGACGATGTTCGTGCAGATCTGTGCGAGTTTGAAAGCTGAGGAGCCAGCACGAACGATGTTCTTGGACTCTTTTGCTGATTGTGAGGTAGTTCGAGTCACGATATGGATCTGAATACATGATTCTCCCTGGGCTCGTGAAAGGGCAGTAACTTATTCTGCATGCACAGTCCACGGGAATTGATGGGCTATCATTGCAGGTCTCTCAGTATGGGGTATTGCTAGTGATCGGTTACACACCAATACTTATCGTTCTTCGTGATGAGAGGATGGAACATGGGAAGACTGCAGAACGTGTTCACTTGAGATTTCTTCCCTTTCTAGTACAGATTTGTCAAGTTTAATGAGTATAGTCGTACGCGATGGAAACTGCTGTGTAGGGGTATGGTGAGCTGTCACACGTGCAGGCTTTGTGCACATATCAGTACAGAAGTTGTCCGAGAATGAAAAACTTACCAATCCTAGTCCGTCCAAGACCGCTTCTACGACCCCAGCAGTGAATGAAGAACAACTAAGTTGATTCATATCTTTAGGGACAGATATATGACGTTCGATCGGAGGATCATTGTCGATAATCATGTCTTGAGATGGAGATCACTCAGCAGTCCGGTAAAACGAATGGAGTGATCATACATTCATCTTCATTCTCCACGCTCTTCTCTATTGCATCTGCGGGGCGTCCAAAGACTGCCCTCCACACCTGTGTGTGAATGGACATGAGAGCAGGCAGAAAGCGAATTTCTCGTTTGGGAGCTTTGGATGACGACTCTGCCCGCCAGAC